AATTTAATCTAAACTTAAAATTGTAAGCTTGTTTAAAAATTAAGAGGTGAAGGGGATCCATGAGAAAGAAAACTGTCGGCCTCGGTGTACTCGAGTAAAAGGACATTCTATCAATGTTAAGTGCAGTCAACACAGACAGTGAGAGTTTGGGTTTAACGAAGGTATTGGCTAAACGTGTTACAAGATACGTACCGTCTACTCTAACCCATACATACATACATACATACATACCCTATTGTTACATCAGTTAAAGCTCGAATCACCAAATCCCAAATTCTGAAGACAAAACTTCTAAAGTCTTAACCAAAATATTAGCAGAAAACACACGACCACCATTTTTATTATCCTCAGGAGTTCAAACTATAAATGAGTTCTGAAAGAGTATTCCAAAACTGAGTTGTGCTGCTACACGAGAGATGTGTTAGTTAGCATAGACATGAGAAAGAAGCCACGGCATCTCATTTTCATTGTTGGGTGACTTCAAAGAATCCCTATCAAAGTTTTGTATTCTTTACCAAACCGTAGGTGGTCTGTCTTTGTCCAAACTCAAGAAATTATAGAGAAAACTATGAAATGTATAAGATGTAATTGTCTAGTTCATTTTGATGGCGAACTCTTGATAACTTAGAGATTTCCTCAACTACCTTGAGGAAATCTTATCTGCTTATCATGCCCTCGCAAGATTGAGCTTCCATTAAGGATGCCGATCTTGGACCGATGAAATGAAAAAAGTTTACGGGCGAGAGACTTTGTGAGTGAGTATGCTAGTTGATCAGTTGTATGCAGTGAGAAACACGGAGTTGATGTCTAACAATTTGATCTCGCACGAAGTGGAAGTCGATGGCAATGTGTTTCATGCGGGAATGAAACACTGGATTAGCACACAAGTAGGTAGCTCCAATATTATTATAATATATTGTAGGAATAACTGTGGATTAGACGTTGAGTTCCTTAAGTAGATTTGTGACCCAATTGAGTTCAACAACGGTTAGAACTCTAACTCTAAAAAATATTATAAATATATAAAAAAATATTATAATTAAGTCGATCTGTTGCAAAAGAAGCAACAAGTTACTTTGTATGTCCAATTAAAAGATATTTTAACAACTACTAAAAAAAATTAAAGTAATGATGAAACAAAAATATAAATTCAAAAAAGAAGAAGATATTTTTCTTTAGAATTGAGATTTGCTTACGTCATTTTTAAGCATCCGTACATTAATTAGCTCACACATTGAGTCGGTGATAGCTGATAGATGTACGAAAGGACCACATGAACCAAATAGATGTCAACTCAATTCTATCCTGTCAACATGTCGCTCATACATCACACAATGAAAAGGATAATATCTTATGCTCTGATAACGTTTTAAACTATAGTAAATTGTTGCATGGTGAAGGAGTTGATATCATTGTAATAGCAAGACCAAAAATAAGCTTCATTAACGTGTTCTAATCAGATCCTACTATCTCTAGTTTTGACATAAGCTATGTTCATAGACTATATTATTATTTTTAATATCAAAATTACATATGATAATTCTTCAAATAACAATCAATTATATCTTGCCGAGTAAGATTAGCCGATCTTCTTATCATGCTCCTGAGGAGTTGTTTGATGAATCACAACTAAATTAGGGCTTGAAGATTGAACAAATCTCATGACAAATTCATCTGATGAATTTTACATACATATATTAATTTTTATTGTAGTTTTCATCGTTTCAGTGGAACTAAATTTAATATTCAGAACAGCACTAAAAGAAAAGAAAAGAAAAGAAAAGATGACAAGACATCAGAATTATCCTTGTAAATTAAATTTTATACATACTTATATATAAGGATTATCAATGTCATCACCATATATATCGACAAACAGCTAAGGACTGCTCGTCATCACCAATAATGTCTAAATTATTGCTTGGCCATCTATATATAAACCTCTAAATGAGCTCCATCACAACAACAAGTAATTAACTACTCTTCCTCCCTCCTCGTCACCAATGGAGATACCATCGTCGGCCATATACTTGGCCCTTGTCCTAGTTTTCACACTCCTCACAGGCCTCTACCGCGGCCGCCGCCGCCACAAACTCAACCTCCCACCTGGGCCGAGGCCGTGGCCTGTCATTGGCAACCTCAACCTCATTGGTCCTCTGCCTTACCGCTCCCTCGCCGCCCTCTCCCAAAAGCACGGCCCACTGATGCACCTCCGCTTCGGCTCCTTCCCGGTCGTCGTCGGCTCCTCCGTCGACATGGCCAAGTTCTTCCTCAAGACCCATGACCTCTCCTTCGTCTCTCGCCCTAAGACCGTCGCCGGCAAGTACACCTTCTACAACCACTCCAACATCAGCTGGTCGCCTTACGGCCCCTACTGGCGGCAGGCACGCAGGATCCTCATAATGGAGCTCCTCACCCCCAAGAGGCTGGACTCCTACCAATACATTCGGGTAGAGGAGGTGCGCGGCCTCCTCCGGGACCTCTTCAGGTCCACAGAGACGCCTGTCCTCCTCAACGACTACATTTTCACTGTCAACCTCAACATCATTAGCCGCATCGTGTTGGGAAGGAAGTACACGCAGGAGCAGTCGGTGTCGTCGGGGGCGCCCGCGGCGATCGTCCCGCAGGAGGAGTTCAAGGAGATGATCGAGGAGCTGATGCTGCTCAACGGCGTCATCAACGTGGGCGACTTGATACCCTGGCTGAACTTCCTGGACCTGCAGGGCTATGTGAAGAGGATGAAGATGGTGGGCAAGAGGTTCGACAGGTTCCTGGAGCACGTGCTCGACGAGCACAACGAGCGGCGTCGGCGAGAAGGGAAGGCGTTCGTCCCCAGGGACCTGGTGGACGTGCTCTTGGAGTTGGCCGATGATCACAGTCTGGAAGTCAAGCTCGAGCGGCATTGCCTCAAGGCCTTCATTCTGGTCTGCATATATCCGTTGTCTCCGTTGTGGTTGTCTTTACGCAGATCGATTTAGGTAATATATTGTTCCACTTGGACTGACGGAACAGGACATGTTCGCCGGCGGCACCGACACCTCCACCGTGACCATTGAATGGGCCGTCTCTGAGATCCTCAAACGACCCGAGACCTTCGACAAGGCAACCGAGGAGCTGGACCGGGTGATCGGCCGCGGCCGGTGGGTGGAGGAGGAGGACGTGCACCGCCTGCCGTACATCGAGGCCATCGTCAAGGAGACCATGAGGATTCACCCGGTGGGGCCCCTGCTCGTGCCTCGGCTCTCCCGCGAGCACACCACCGTCGACGGCTACGACATCCCCGCCGGGACGGGGGTGCTGGTGAACGTGTGGGCCATCGGGCGCGACCCGGCCGTGTGGGACGCTCCGGAGGAGTTCCGGCCGGAGCGGTTCGTGGGCAGCCCGATCGACGTGAAGGGACACCACTTCGAGCTGCTGCCGTTCGGGGCGGGTCGGCGGATGTGCCCCGGGAACAGCCTCGGCCTGAAGATGGTGCGTCTGAGCCTGGCCAATCTGCTGCACGGGTTCAAATGGAGGCTACCGCCGGGGATGACGGCGGAGGAGCTGAAAATGGATGAGATCTTTGGGCTGACGACGCCGCGGAAGGTGCGGCTCCAGGCCGTGGTCGAGCCAAAGCTTCCGGCTCATCTCTACGGCGCCTGATGATGCTGTGTTTCGGGGGGTGAACAAGTCACAAATTCCAGCTTTTGCATGATAGTAGTATGTGTTGTGTTAATTAGTACGTTGAAGGGAAGTTTGCTATGGTCCAATAAACTCTACTCTTGAGTTAAAAATATTTATATATGTATGTAATAATTTTAGATAAGTAAAGTACTCTTGCAAAATTTCTAATGCATTTTCCATATGAGCAAATATGTTAAGTAATCAATTTATCATCAAAAATATTTTTTCAACCTAAATGGTTGGTTAGGTCATTTAATTAAGATGAAACTTGAGTTTATTCAGTTCAATTATAATAATCATTAATTAATTTTTTTTATCTAAATATGTTTGATTCAAAATTCATCCCAAAATTTTTTTATGATAATAAATTATTTATTATTATTATTATTAATTAAATCTATTACGAATTATATGAATTTAATCTAAACTTAAAATTTTATGATAATAATTTATTACGAATTATGATCTTCTTATCTAATATCCTGATTCTTTCTGAAGAAAGGAGATGAAACATCATTAATAAGACTAGGATACGAGACAACAGAAGAAGTAGGAGAATTATAAGGATCTTCAGCAGAAGTAGTAGATTTTTACTGGGGTATTAGCAACTTTTCAATCAATTTGAGTTCATTTACTGGGGTAGAAATGAGTAAAGAAACCCTAAAATAACCCTTTTTCCCAAGGTATTAGCAACTTTTCAGTAAAAAAAAATCACTTTGCATTGATTTTTCCTGGGTTTATGCAAAAAAATCACTTAAAATAGTCCCAGAAACTCTCTTTTTACTCGTAGCAGGCTTAAAAATAATCTTTTTTTCTCTGTTTTGATAGCAAAATTGAAATTATTATTTTTCCCTACATAGTATTTCTATATTTATATTTTAGCTAACAGCAAGCAACTAATAATATTATTGCACTTTAAGAATTATTATCAGTCAAAGAGTAAGTTCGGTTTTAATTCAAAAGCAAGTCCAGTATTTGAAGTTCAAATACATTTCTATGAGTAAATAGCCATTAGCAAAGTAACACATAGATCAAAGATAATTCTTGGAGGAATTCATTTCTTTCCATAGTTAAACTTTTTGGTTAGCACTAATGTGAATGAAGTTGTTTTCTCTCATCAATTATCTAGAATTTCTTATCAAGAAGACCTGCCTGCCTTTTAGAATTTGAGTAAATTTTGATGCAATTTAGTAAAGTTATGATCAATTATGAGATTTCTTGAAAATAGTATAACTGGCTCAGATCAAAATTGGAGCAATTAATTTCTTAGAAGTCAATAAGAAATGAATTAATTACAAATAATTCAAAAGATAATATTAGCACTCCAATAACAATAAATCAAAAGATAATTAATTTTGATATTCGATAATTTTATTCTATCGACTACCTATTTAAGAATTGGATCGAGATCCGTAATTTCCTATCAAATTTGTCTCGAACTCAAATTAAGGTGTAGCCAAATAAGGTTCAATTTATCCAAGTAGGCATCACACTTGTCACAAGCAATGTACAATAATCCTGGCCGGGGGAAAGAGACACCAGCTGATTCCACCATGAGTGAAGTCCACCTCGGCAAAGCAACAAAAGTTCGATAAAAGAAGCTTTTGCAATGGCTTCTCCTCAATCTGTATCCATCTTCCCCTCTCACCAGTCCATGTCCCAAATGCTCTCCAAGCCAGAACGGCACTACCGCACCTGCGTTTGCTTCCAAATGCTTTCTTCTCCACCTTAGAAAAAGAGGAGGTTGTCTCATCTGACTCGCTCTTTGTTTAATGATATCACCAAATGATTGTTCCTTGGGGTTACCAGTAATGGACTGCCATCAAAGGGGTTGCTCAAGTTGTAGATGCTGGTATTTATTTCTCTTTCTTTCTCTGATTAATAATATCAGATTTCGAAACTTCAGTTTTAGATACGTTTGACTGTCATTTTTAGATCTTTATTGGTTCATTTTTATGATCCATATTTGATCTTTTTTCTATCTTTTTTGTATTACTTTCTATTTGGCATTGAACGGACGAAGAGAAGATTTGAAGCCATGTTGATTTATCATAGATTAATTCAGAACAGGGAAACTGTTCCCTGAATGAAGATACGAGATTTGTGCACTGTGTTGGAGTTGATGGGCGCACACACACTGCCATTTGATACATCTGTCTTCTTGTCATAGCTGCATATGTCATTGCCTTACTGATTCAAAGTGAATGCAGACTCCAAATGTGATCAAACATCATAAGGATAGATGTTGTTTTGAAAGACAGAGAGCAGAAATCTGCTGCCTGCTAATCGAAGGGACTACTCGAAACTTTGTGTGCATAATTGGGAGACAGTGGAGAGTGTCTATTAGAACATCTTCATGACCATCATCTTTACAATATTATGTTGACATCATCCACTTTGTAGTCTTCATTGTCACTGGATTGGCCCCCTGAATACCCCACCATTACTTGAAAGGAGGTGCCACAGAGCCATCCACTTGCAGGGGGATGCTGCTACACTGTACGTTGTGTTCTTCCACTCCCGAGTTCGCTTGATATCACCAAAGACGCTGGAATAAAGATCGATCGACGAAAGGATGTGTTAGTTTGACAAATCCTATAGTCCTACATCGGAAAAATCAAACTTGTTGTCTCGTCTTGGAACTATAAATAAGGGCATGAGCTTTAAAGTCAGATGCACCACAAGAAAAACCTAAGTGTTTGCTTTGGTTTAAGTCCATACTCAGTTAAATAGTTTGGACTTATAGTTTGGTTTTTCTTGTTTAGTATTTTCGGGTGTTTTATGGCATAGGGCATTTGTAATTGTCCCTCTTTTGCAGTAGTAATTTGCTCCTCTTTTGTCCGTGGATATAGGTCAAAGTCAATTGACCGAACCACGTATATCTGGTATTCTGGTGTTCTTGTCTCGCTTTTATTCTTTCCATTTTATTGTCTTGTTGGGTTGCCAAAATTACCTTGTGGTAAATTTCCTAGGGCTAGTTCTAACAAACTGGTATCAGAGCTTGGTTCTGGGATCTTTTGGCAACGATGACAATAACAAAGATTGTTGTCGAGAAATTCGACAGAAATGTTAACTTCAGCTTGTGGCAACTCAAGATGGAGGCCATTCTGGTTCAAGATGGAGTTGATTTGGTATTACAGGGAGCTGAGAGCATTCCAGATGATATGTCAAAAGAAGAACTTGCGGGTATAGATAAGAAGGTCCGATCAATCATCATTCTAAATCTCTCTGACGAGGTTTTACGGGAGGTAGCTACGGAGACTACGGCTAAGAGCATGTGGGATAAGCTTAAAGCCTGTACATGAAGAGGACAGTGGAGAATCGTCTCTACTTGAAGCAGAGTCTATATATGCTTCGGATGACTGAAGGTACATCTATATTCTCACATCTTGATAAGTTTGATTCTTTGGTTATGGATTTGGAGAATATAGATGCAAAAATTGATGATGAGGATAAGGCTTTGTTACTCTTGTGTTCTCTTTCCTAATCTTTTAAGCATTTCCGTGATACTTTGATTTATGGAAAAGAAACAGTTTTGTATCAAGAAATTAAATCTGCATTGAAATCTAAGGAGCAGATAGACAGGAATATCACTGGGGAAAGTAGAGAGAATCAGGTTGAGGGTCTGGTTGTTAGGAGGAGAATGGATAAAAGAGAATTTGACAGTAGTAGATCTAAATCCAGACATAGAAATTTGGAATACAGATATTGTCATAAAATGGGGCACATTAAATCTAATTGCTTTAAATTGAAAAATAAATTAAAGGAAAAGGAAAATTTTGTTGAAAAAACTACTGAATCCGCTGAAGTTAGTGTAGCAACTGATGAGAATGTTGGAAATATTTTTTCTGCTATTGATGACAGGACGAGGTCTAAAAATGAATGGATTTTAGATTCAGGTTGTTCTTATCACATGTGTCCCAATAGGGATTTGTTTTCCACATATGAATCTTGTAATGGTGGAATTGTTTTGATGGGCAATAATGCCGCATGTGATGTTGTTGGTAGAGGCACAATCCGAATTAATATGTATGATGGTATTATGAGGACGCTCACTAATGTTAGACATGTTCCTGATTTAAAAAAGAATCTCATCTCTTTAGGCACCCTAGAGGCCATTGGGTGTAAATACACAGCTGAAGGTGGAGTTATTAAAATTTCTAGAAGTGCTCTTGTTGTTATGAAAGCTTGTAGGTCTGGTAGCTTGTATATTCTATAGGGAACTACTATCACAGGTTCAATTGTAGTCTCATCATCATCATTGTCTGATTCTGACATCACCAAATTATGGCATATACGTTTGGGTTATATGAGCGAAAAAGGTTTGAGCATATTGAGCAAAAGGGGTCTACTTTGCGGACAGAGTACTGGGCCACTTGATTTTTATGAACACTGCATTTTTGGAAAGCAGAAAAGAGTCAGCTTCACTTCTCCGGCAATTCACAAAACGAAAGGTACTCTTGACTATATTCATTTAGACCTTTGGGGTCCAGCTCATGTTCAATCTAAGGGTGGTGCCAGGTATATGTTGACTTTCATTGACGATTATTCCAGGAAAGTTTGGGTTTATTTTTTGAAGCATAAAAATGATGTCTTTCTAACCTTTAAACAATGGAAGGCTTTGATTGAGAAGCAAACAGGTAAACAGATTAAGCGGCTTCGAACAGATAATGGCATGAAATTTTGTGTAGGTGACTTTAAAGAATTCTGCAAAAATGAAGGAATCGTTCGGCATCGCACTGTTAGGATGACACCTTAGCAAAATGGTGTGGCTGAACGTATGAACATAACACTCTTGGAGAGAGCAAGGTGTATGATCTCAAATGCAGGGTTGACAAAGGACTTTTGGGCAGAGGCGATTAATATGGCCTGCTACGTTGTCAACCGCGCTCCTTCTGCAGCACTTAACTTTAAAACTCCAGAGGAAGTTTGGTCAGGTACTCCTGCTGATTATTCTGATTTAAAAATTTTTGAGTGTCCAGCATACATGCATGTAAATGAAGGAAAATTAGAGCCTCGGGCTAAAAAGTGTATTTTCCTTGGGTATGCTTCTGGGGTGAAAGGATACAGATTATGGTGTTCTGATCCCAAATCCCCAAAATTTGTAATCAGTAGAGATGTTACTTTTGATGAATTATCTATGTTATCTTCTAAAGAGGATTCTACTAGTTGTACAAATGATAGTGCGCAGAAGCAGGTGGAGCTTGAGATTGGTAGTTCAGATTCCTTTAAGTCGAACTCTTCTACTCAAAGAATACTAGTAGATGGTCCCGAGTCTACTGATGCAGTTGCTCCAAAGGAAGAGCAATATTCCATAGCCAAGGATAGACCACGGAGAAATATTCGACCACCACAAAGGTATGCAAATTTGGTTGCATATGCTTTGTTTGTTGCAAAAGAAACAAGTGAAGTTGGTGAGCCTACTACCTACTCAGATGCAGTTTCTTATGATAATTTCGCTAAGTGGTTGATTGCGATGAATAAATAAATAGAATCTCTCCGTCAGAATAGAACTTGGGATCTTGTGAAGCCGCCTTCGGATAAGAAAATCGTTGGATGCAAATGTGATACTATTACTGAGGGAAAAGTCCTTGTTCAGAAAATTCATACGAAGAACAATCCAGCTGATATGTTTACGAAGCCTCTTCCGGTTTACAAGTTCAAGTAGTGTTTGGATTTGGTTGGTGTTCATAGTTGGTGATTGCCCGTTGGGGCTTTTATGAAGAAGGTGGAGCAAGTTTTGTTGAAACATGCCAAGGTGGAGATTTGTTAGTTTGGCAAGTCCCATAGTCCCACATCGGGAAAATCAGACTTGTTGTTTCGTCTTGGAACTATAAATAAGAGCCTGAGCTTTGAAGTCAGATTCACCACAAGAAAAACCTAAGTGTTTGCTTTGGTTTAAATCCATACTCAGTTAAATAGTTTGGACTTATAGTTTGATTTTTTTTGTTTAGTATTTTCGGGTGTTTTATGGCCTAGGAACATCTTCTTAAGGCATTTGTAATTGTCCCTCTTTTGCAGTAGTAATTTGCTCCTCTTTCGTTCGTGGATGTAGGTCAAAGTCAATTGACCGAACCACGTATATCTGGTGTTCTGGTGTTCTTGTCTCGCTTTTATTCTTTCCGTTTTATTGTCTTATTGGGTTGCCAAAATTACCTTGTGGTAAATTTCTTGCTCTAACGGGATGATATGATTGCTCGAGTGGTTCTTACATGCCATGAATGGGATGATGGTAGCTGAGCTCTCCGTCGTCGTCAAGGGGCAAGGGCAAGGGGCTGTAGCATCACTAGTAAGACCTACATTGTTGAAGTTGTACCGACAAGGTGCTTTGTGTGCCGCTACAAAAGTTCTGGTATCCATCAATGGGGCTTGTCATGAAGCCTTTCAAACTTTAACGTGAATGAATGATGTGCTTGCTGTTGAACAATCAATTGCCTGATAACCATTGGACCTGTTTCGTGCAGTGTATCAGATGTTTTGTATAACCGGAGCGATGGGAATTGTCTGAAGCTGATTTCATGAATTCTGAATCTTCAAGATTGTCCCGAAATAATGAGTTCACAAGAAATATAGAAAAAAATTTGTGTTATTAATGCAAAACTATGCTTTCATGGCTCCATTTAGGATGATGAATGGACAATGAGGAAGACAGAACGGAACAGAGAAGGTGATGATGAATCTCATAGTGACTAGAAGGATGTTTTACTTTAATCCTTGTAAATGTTAAACCTGTGTTTTCATCCTCAGTGTGTCACCAGAAATCTTTCCCTTCTAAAATCACTCTTTAATCCTCATGAAGAATGCATCGAAAGGCGCAACATACTGCGACCAGACCATGTCGAAAGTGTTTGCCACGAGACAAGAAGATAGCCATACTTTTCGCAAGTGGATTGATGATGAAGCTGAGTATATAGCATAGGGAAATGTCGATGGGTGTGCCAGTGTCTTTTGCTCTCACACTGCCTCCACTGCGTCAGAGTTATGGAGACACCACCAACTCAAAAGCAAGAGGTTTAGCCCTTCTTTAACTCATACCTTTTGGTTTAGAGCTTTTTCCTTGCATTAATGGTATTGGTGAAGTAGAAGGAAAGTGTTTGTTACACTTCTGCTTCGAAGGGGAATGCATCCAAAACTCTCTAATCTTGCACAATAAGAAGATGGAAGAAGCATCTGATCTCTAATCCTCTTTTTGTCATGGCTTCGGAGAAGAGCTCATCAGGCCTTAGCAAGTCATGTATTCTCATCATAGGTATCATCTCTCTCAGAATTCATCATCATCTTCTGCATGCTTGTGATGGTTAACTCGTTGAAGGATGCCATGATTTCTGATATAGCAGTCTGCTTGATGCAGCGGTGGCCAGTGTGGAGAGGTTTGCATACAAAGGTGTGGCCTCCAACTTGCTGAGCTACCTCACTGACCATGTGAAGATGAGCACCTCCTCGGCGGCCAAGAGTGTGAGCACTTGGAGTGGGGTGACTTCCATGCTTCCTCTCGCAAGCGCGATCCTCGCTGATTCTTACTGGGATCGTTACTCTACGATCATGGCCTCATCCTTGCTCTACATCGTCGTAACTTTCTCGACAAATTCCAGCTTCAATTTTCTGAAGTTGTCAGAGAACAAGTTGTTCATGTTCTCCTCGTTCACAGGGACTGGTGGGATTGACCTCATGGGCGTTACTGTGTGCATGGATGCCAACCTCCTCCCTGTTTCTTCCCCTCTACTTGATCTCCATTGGACAAGGTGGATACAACCCATCCTTACAGGCGTTTGGAGCAGATCAATTGGAGTTGGAAGATGGTCTGCCATGTGGCACAGAGCAAGGGAAGAGCGACAAGAAGAGCCTCTTCTTCCAGTGGTGGTACTTCGGCATCTGCAGTGGCAGCCTCTTGGGGAACTCCATCATGTCCTACATCCAGGACACCTTGGGCTGGGGACTGGGCTTCGCCATCCCCACAGGCGCCATGGCGATCTCGGTCGCTTGCTTCCTGTGCGGCTCTCGGTTTTACGTCCACAAGCAACTCAAGATCCCCAACAGGCCTGTGGAGAGCATCATCCAAGCAGTGAAGCTCGCTGTGACGAAGATCAAGTCCAAAAGCCACGGTTTACCTTCGAGAGATGCAGTGGAGCTCGAGTGAGCTACTGTTCGAGCTGCAAAGCATGCACATTAAATTGTTGTTTGAATAACTTGCTTGCTCGTCTTCTATGCAGGTTGCAGGAAAAGCCTCTCAGGGATGGATCTGATCGCTCGACGAGTTCAGGTAGAAGCAACAGCGCTGCGGATGAAGCACCTGGTGTGGGGAAAACGTTCCTGAGGCTCCTACCGATATGGACGACGCTCCTCATGTTTGCCGTCATCTTCCAACAGCCTGTGACGTTCTTCACGAGGCAAGGCATGATGATGCGACGCAGCATCGGGGACGGCATCACGATCCCTCCGGCGATGCTTCAGAGCGCCATCACCATCTCGATCATACTGATCATGCCGCTGTACGACAAGCTCATCATTCCCTTGCTGCGCCTGCTCACTCGGCAGGGGAAGGGCATCAACGTGCTGCAGAGGATCGGGATAGGGATGTGCCTGTCGGTGGTCGCGATGGTCGTGGCCGCAGTGGTAGAATCGAAAAGGATCGGGATTCTAAGAACAGAGGGGTCGCAACTCGACTCGCAGCTGACCATCTTCTGGTTGCTGCCTCAGTACGTCCTCCTGGGGATCTCCGACGTGTTCACCGTCGTCGGCATGCAGGAGTTCTTCTACATGGAGGTGCCGACGACCATGAGAACAATTGGAATAGCTCTGTACCTGAGTGTGTTTGGTGTGGGCAGCTTCCTGAGTGCTCTTCTGATTTCAGTCCTGGAGTCGATCAGCAACACAAGTGGGAAGCACCATAACTGGTTCTCCGATGACACAAGGGAGGGGAGGCTGGACAACTACTACTGGTTCCTGGCTCTGTTAAGCTCCATTAGCTTTCTGATCTTTGCATGTTTGTGTAGATACTACAATCATCCGAATGCAGCTGAAAACTGAGTCACCATCAGCATCAGCAGCTCCTTAGCCGAGCAACTTCACAGTTCCTGTGAATTTTTGAGAACTTTGATCGATGTCAGCTGGCCATTTTGACATCCTAAACTATGTCTTCATACTTGCAGTAATCAGCAGTACTAATTCTAAGCAAAAGGTTCAAAATCTCAGGATATAGTTTGTGCAAAGATCACTTAATGGTGTTAAGTACTACTGGTTAGTATTAACTGTAAAATCGATGGATAATTTGGGATGCTGAAAGAAAAGTGTCATCAGATCTACCCCTTTCCCAGCAGTTCCGATAGCTGAGCTTTTACGGAAGATACTTCGACGCATCTCAACCATCCAACCCCTTTGTGACTCGCATCTGAAAGCATATTGATGCGAGGCGACAGGTGACGACGATTCAAATCCTGTTGTTTGCGCCAAACAAAGGCCCAATCAACCCATTAGAAGGTGCAAATCAAGCTGCGGCACCGATCTCAAAGTGAAATCTATTAATACATATGTGACGTGTGTAGAATTAAATTGATGAACAGGAAATGGCCATATGGCCATTGATTACAGAAATATTATTAATGAACAAGAAAGTATAAAACTGAAATTATATGATCTTGTCTATAAACTAATTTCAATTAAATAAGTGGAATAATTATACGTAATATGAAACCTAATTTTTTTGGGAAATTAATTACTAAAATATTCCATAATACACGGTTAAAGAAATCACGTTGATAAGCAAATTTAAGTCATATAGCCGAACATAAAATATAAGACAATTAATAAATAGATTAATTATATTAAATTAAATAAAAAAAGTCAATTATCTATAATATTTTACTATATTAAAAGAGTTTGGCCTAGAAAATAAAATCTCATACAAATATTTGGATTGGAAAAGTAAGTCTTTTGAATCAATATGTAAAAGAAGGAAATTACTATTTATAATCTTTTTTTAATATTTATAATTTCATATTAAATATTTTTAGTACATCAAAATTACTATATTATAAATGAAGATAAATACCCTCCTCTCCTTCCTTATCATTTTTCTGCCCGTCTCTTTCTTCCTCCTCCTAGTCTTCTTTTTTTTCTCCTCCTTCCTTTTTATTTCTCCTCGAACGATAATATCAAAGGGGCAATAAATAAGAACAAAGTATGAGTAACAATCGATGCTAAATATAAATTGAGGGATAACATAAGTTGGGAGGATAATAATCATCCACAAAGAACACAAAGAGATCTACATCGATAAAATATGTAGGCAATGATCATAAATGCTAAAAAAGAAAAAAAAATCAAAATTATAGAGATTATAAATAATAAAAATTTAAAAAAATTATTAAATAATAAGAGATTATCAACGGTAAAAAAAACTCAATAGTAAGCTCCATATGAGAAAGGACAATTGTGAACAAAAATAAAAACATTAAAGAAAAAGACAAAAATAGATACATTTTACAGCTGGTAAAAATCTAAATGTTTTAGAGAGTTTTATTGTACATTTTAATATAGATAAAAAGTCCATAACAAGGACTTGTAAAAAATATGTATTGGAAAGATAATTTCTCTAAAATTAAATAAATAATATGCAACCGAAAAATATAATATAATATTTTATTTTATTCTTATAAAATTTTGATTAATCTTTTTTTATGATGGATATATATATATATATATATATATATATATATATATATATATATATATCTTGGTTCATATGCATTGCATAAGATTTTAGATATTTACTATGAGGTGAAGCCCAAAGCATCCCTGATTAAAGTTAATTAATTATTTCAGTACCCATGTGTTAGACACTATGAAACAAAACAAATAAAATAAAATAAAATAAAAATATATGCCTTGGTGTTCTCCTCCTCCTGTCTCCGGCGGCCGCGACCGCGACTGCTGACCAAAAGAGCTGTTCAAACCCCCCCTTCCCCCACCCCCAATCTCTCTCTCTCTCCCTCGTGGTCGCATAGCAGCATCGGATCCGGAAAACGTTCCCGAAATGGCGGGCCTCTTCGCCTTCTCCTTAGCCGGCCTTGGCTTCCTCTTCCTGGGCGCCATCGAGTCGCTCTCCATCTCTACCGCCCCGGCCCTCCTCCCCCCTCCCCTCCTCCTCCGCCTTCGCTTCATTTCCGCGCTCCTCCTCTCCTCCCTCTCCCTCCTCTCTTCCCTCGTCTCCTCCCTTTCCTCAGCCGAGTCCGCCGCCGATCCCCTTGGCCCCTCCCTCCCCCTCTCCTCCCTCACCGCCGCTGCTCCCTTCCTCCTCTACTCCCTCGCCGGCCTCCTTTCCCTCCCCTCCAGTTCTCTACTCGTCAATCCCTTTCCTTCATCCCTCCTCGATCTCGTCCTCCTCTTCTCCTTCGGTCAGGAGTTCCTCCTCTTCCACTTCCGCCGAAAGGACCTTGACGGCGTCGAGAACCGCTACTTCGATCTCCTCCTCGTGCCCATCCTCGTCTGCGCCATCTCCACCCTGCTCGCCATCGCTCGCCCCCGGTCCCCCGCCCCCTGCGTCGCCCGTGCGGCCGGCCTCGCCTTCCATGGCACCTGGCTCATCCAGATGGGGTTCTCCTTCTTCACCAATCTCATCGCCCACGGGTGCTCCGTCCACGAGAGGAGCGCCACCAACTACACCATCAAGTGCAAGACCCACGAGGATTACCACCGGGGCAGGGCGATCGCTACACTCCAGTTCAATTGCCACCTTGCCTTCCTCATGCTGGTGGGGGCGGTAGCGTACGGGGTCTTAGCCGGGAGGACTGGCGGCAATGCTGGTTACAGACCCTTGAGCAAGGAGTTGCAAATGACAGATGCTTCCCCTTCCAATTTCACATTGGATTCAGATGAAGAAGAAGAAATTGAGGCAGCAGAGACGAAAGGAACCAAGCAGCATCAAGATGTTGTGTTGCCAGTGGTCGAAATTGAGAGTGCCAATGGGTCTCATTGATGAGTAAGTGAAAACAGTTACGTTTAGGAAGAGAAAAGTTGGATCTTGCAGTATACCAGTTGGTGGTCAGGGTGAACCCCTTAGTTGCAAAAGAATTTACTGATATTCATTTAATTATATGATATCCATTTAAAGGTTTGTCTTTTATATGATCTAGTATTTGTTGGTTCTGTGTAAACCCGACGGAATATAGTTCTTGTCTGTTATTATCTATCATCTTTGGTTGTATTAGAACGAGATGGAGAGAATTGTAGTACTTGTCTTGCTAATTTCTTTTGTATCATCCACTTGTAGCCCACTGATTCATGGAGCTCTCTGTGCACATTTTACATTTATCTTAAATAGATCAATGTCAAGATCGGATGATAACTTTGGGCTAGTAATTAGTATTGAGAAATTACTACGCTTTTGCATTCTTAAATTTACATGGAAATAACTTTGTTGTGTTCTCGGTTCTTAAACAAGTCTGTATTTCAATTTTTTTTGTTGCAGGCTTTGATGTTAGTTTGAAAATTTTTATCAATTAGTTGGCCAGTCAAAAAGATTTTGAAAACTTCATACCTCAAAGTTTGGTAAATAATCACCCTGGCTTGGTTAGAACAACCCCCTTTTGTCAGTATGCAACCAACAACAACAAAATCGTATGTCCTAATTATTTGGGACCGGCTACATGAATATTTTGCGGTCATTGAGATCTATAAAAAGTCATATGTTTAGTTAAGTTCAGAATATTTAAATCTTTATCTATAATTTCTATTAAAGTCTTTTTAATTTGTCAGTATGCAATCGTTCTTCCAATATTGTGGGGCTGCTATTTTTTTATTTAGAAAGAACAATGTATGCATAGTGAGCTTGTTTTGGTTTTAAAAATAAAATTTACCTTTTTTCTTCGACTCTTTCCACATTGTCGAAGTGTATAAACCTCGAGTACTATTTCACATTTGAGTGTGAAGACTGACTTTTCAGGGCTCTTTTGGTAGTTAAAGTTGATTTTAAAATTGTCGTTCCTGTATTTTATTACATATTTATGTTACTTAAGTTAGGTAACTTCGTTTTTTTTTAAATATCTCTTAGCTAGAAAAGAATTTTTTTTATTATTTGAGCTTAATGAACTATTTTGAAGTCAATTGGGAGGTTGTATTATCAAAGTTATGTCAAGAATTACAACGGGAGGATTTGAGCTTGGATAGATAGATCTAATTTTCTCATGACATACTTCCAAGTAAATTGATTGGGATGAGCACCCAAAATATGTTGGTTTTGAAATTTCTTTATATGAAGCATCTAAACAATTGAGTCGAACCTGCTCTGTCATTTAGTGCTAGTTATTTCTCTTTCTTGAACATGGCTTGTGACATTTTGCTATCTAAAGCAGTCATCTTGTTGCTTTTGTCTTTTGTCATCCAAATTTGAAGTCTTCTACTGTTTTTTTTCAAGTGATGTTGGAATGATTGCCCAAAAGTTGACATTGAAATGTTGCTTGATGAACAACCCAATAATAAGAACCTCTGTGATTCTCTTGCATATTGGTTACTCTGAATCAAATAAAGGCAGATTTAGTCACATTTCTGACCAAGTCTGCACATGAAGTGACCCCAAATAATTTGGCACTATAACTTGTTGTCGTCGTTGCCTTTCCAAGTCTGGAGGTTCAGCTATGTAGTTATAATTTCAAATGAATGCAAGACATGAGACTAGTATATCTCTCACATTTTACATTTTCGAAGAATATCTTTATCTGTTTTATGGCAAATTTTCTTTTTGGCCAACATACACCTTACATTAGAATGGTACCTAATCTTTCCATTTTTCTGTTCTGAGTTTTCACGTGCAAGATGTAAAAAGGAAAAGCCAAAAAGAGTGAAGCAAGCGAAGAGCAAAGAGAATGTTATAAAAAGGTTTCTTGTTTCCATTTTGGATAATAACAAGAGAATTATTTTTTTCACTCATGGTGTTAAGAAAGAAAGATGATTAAAGAAAAATTCAATTATATTCTTTTGTTACTTTTTTCATGTTTCTTTCACCAAAGATGTGTTAGGATCGGAGCGGCACTAAGAGGGGGGGGGTGAATTAGTGCAACGGATTAAAACTTCGATTTTAACAAAATCTTTCGTACGATAAGAACGGAACTTGAAAAGTTTAACTTGAAAGCATATTCTTAAAGTTGCGCAGCAAGGG